TTTCAAGACTGTATAGAATTATTTTGCTGCAACTCATAAATCAATGTCTGCGTCTGTGTGTCTGTCTTCTTACATGTACGGGCACAGTGCGGTAAGTGAGCATGATTACGAATATAATATTGATTTTCAAGATTACTGTTTACCTTTATCGATTTTTTCTGCAAAGTTTCGGAGCTCAGAATTTCCAAAAGAGGTAATTGGGCATGCTGAATGCGAAAAAGGTGAGGACGGAGGACTGGTGTACATGGTCCGGGACAGGAATTCGAGTGCCATATTCAAAATCAGCGCCATGAAAAGGCCTGGATAGCATAAAAATATGGAAGTCGAAAATCCTGCCGTTAACACATAGACAGGGCAGGGCGGAGTCGGGTATGCCAGCTAGTTAATCATATACTCAAATAGAAAATTCCTAAATGTTCCGACCAATCTTTGCACATGTAGACAAGCGCACAATCGTTCCGGGTCGTGTAAGTGTTGATGAAAGCTTGGAAACAATATTTTTACATTATGGCCTACCAACATAGTGGTAGGAATGCGGTATGCTAAACATGCCCTTGCAGCCAGTCAAACATCCTCCAATCATGTATTTCAAAAACAGCCATCCTTCTGGGACATAGAAGAAGGGGCTTGAACCGAATACTTTTTTGCATCGTTTGCTTTTGCTGAGATGTTAGTGCGTACGAGTTGTTAAGGTGTATACTAAATTGCATCGCAACATCTCTCATAATATTTTATTGCTGACACTTATTTTCTGTTTCCACGTAGTCCATCTTAGTCAGAGGGCAAGTGGCGTAGTGGTATGAGGCGTCCCTATAACCAGATCGGATCCAAGTTCGATCCCGCTCCTGGGCCAACCAAGCCCTCTACCCTCTGAGGCCGGTAAATCGATACCAGAGTAATCTGGGAGGATAAAAGCACTGACTTGGTTACACGGCTGGCCCCCGCAGTTCACTGTAATGGCTCGGACGCATACAGAAATCTTCGACTATGGAGTAGTGTGCGTTCGACGCATGCCCGCAAAGGGTATTGATGACGCCGAATCCTTCATCCTTTTGATTTTCGTCACAGGAAAGTGTGAAAAATAGTCCTCTGGCCATACTAGCCCAGCCTCACGTTTTGCTCACTATGCAGGAATGTATACCATTTGGTAATCGTAAAGCAATCCTTATAATAGAGATGCACTACCATCCGACCGTTTGTAATTGCTTATACCTCATCTCAGTAAAGGTAGTCACTGCCTAGACTTTTCGTCTAGTCGACGACGCACTTTTTGTGCCATACGAGCGACGGTAAATGGACGTTGCGTTGTCAAACGAGTCACTATGAGTAGCCTTTTCTGAGCAGAATTTGACGGTGAAGAACGAGCGGAACTCGAGAAGGTGCGCTCCATTTTTTATACAAGGAATTCATCAAACTGAGAGGACTCGGCTGCTGGTCTTTGCGCCCACCCAAGTTTTACAAGAGCATATAATAATTCAACACTTTAGCGCTCAGCTCAGTCACTTCACGCTTCTGGCAGCTAATATGTACATGCTAAAAAGGCTTCAAAAATGGAAGGAAGCAAAGGAAATGGGATTGTCGAACTGCATATGTGACACGAATGGACGCCGCCATTGTCATAATTTTGTGGATGACGTACACTTCACATATGACCAAAAAAGCTCGCGTCAAGAGTGAAACTAGATAAGATCCATTTAATGTGCAAAGTTTTATAATTTGGCCAGAGTTAGCAGTAAAGAATTTAGTCAGTAGTCTTAGGCAACTACTGATAAAACAAAGGGAAGCAAATAGAGGATGAAGGATCACCATCTAAGGTTGTCCTCCCATTCCTTTCTTTGAAGTGACTCCGCAACTAATCAAATATTATTTTGCACACTGCAATGGCAAAAAACTAAAGCATTCAATGCGGCAATTGTAATGTCGTAGTTTTCACACGCCAGAATATTTTTTTTCTTCTGCTCACAGCTCAACAGAATGGTACCGCATTGCTTAGAAGAGACCCGGTATTAGTTGGTGTTGTGGCTGTTGTGGCTGTTGCTGTGGGAAGAGACCCGCTAGTAGTTGATTTTGTGGCTGTTGTGGCTGTTGTCGCTGTTGCTGTGGTTGTGGCTGCTTTGACTGCTTTAACTGATTTGATAGTTTATCCAGCTGGATCCCCAAACCCAGAGCACCCATTATGGTTTGACCAATTCCACCAATAAGATTTTGGAAACTCTGAGGAACGCTGAAAATAGATTTCCGACGCATTGGGAACTAGGAGAAACTGCAGCCTGTCGTTCTAACTTACACATCGTCTCCATGTTCTATCGCCGAACTATTCTGCTGTTCTGTTGCCGGGACTCTTATCGCTGTCACGTTTTGTCCTTGTGCTACCGCCGAAACATCCTGTTTCTGTCCTGTAGATGCTCGCAGAAGCATGACGGGACATAGAAGCACGAACGCGGACTGAAGTAGCTGCATTTTGAAAGAGCATCATATTGCGGAGCTTTTATAACGACTGTGGAGGTACTTCCAATGGTCTCTAAAAGACCTAAAAATAGAAGAAAAAATAAAAAATATATGTAAAATATGCATGCATATGTATGCATAATATAATGATATGTATGCAAAATGTATGCATAATACATAATATGTATGCAAAATATAAGTCTCGAGACTGTAAGACAGCTGATCAAAGTGAAAAGTATTCTGCCGCCATTTGATTTCATATGTCTATATCGACAGTAAAGCTTTCAAAAGCAAGCATAGATGTACTCGGTTTGATAATGCACCCCGCCAAGGCTATGCGCCTTTGACTTGGATGAAGAAGCAAAGTGTTCTACGGTGAGAGAAAAGTTGCATGAATTAAAGGAAACTTGTGGCGAAGAAATCTGCATTCAAACTATTTCAAAGAAAACAGTGAAATTTGAATTGAAACGTGAAATTTTTAAAACTTGCACACTCATCACAACTGGAAAAAATTAATCTGCTGTTCCTCATTGGAATGCCAGAACAGTGTCACCTGTTCCGCTACCGTACAGTACCAACACACTGCCGACTTGAAATCCTACGGTATAAGCGCAATGTCGCGCCGGAAGTGCCGCATCGCGATA